CACACTGGTCCTGTCATCGAGGGGGTTTCACAGCAGCCTCATTTTACAGATGAGAGAACTGAGGCCACCCTTCTCTGGGTAAACCCCTTGTAGTGTGGGTCTGGGGGCCAGCATCGCAGGCCCTGTCGAGGAGGGCTGGCTACACCTCAGTTGCAATTCTGAGCCTGAGTCACAAAGGGGGTTACTGGCCTTACTGCCTGGTGCCCCCAGAACTTTGTCCTGGGCTCTACCCACAGTATAGCAGGGGTACAGACAGCACAACAGATACAACTTGTAACAATTTTGTGTGTGTACTTGTTCTTTGGCCCCTAAGATGCCTCAGGACAAAGTATGTTTTAATTTTTATTAGTTATTGATGGTCCTTTATTTGTTTATATGTGGTGCTGAGAATCAAACCCAGTGCCTCACACATGCCAGGCAAGTGCTCTACCACTGAACCACCACCCCAGCCCCAAGGACAAAGTTTTATAGAAATAAGAAAGGGAGTGTATTTTGGAGATGAGTCTTTCCATCCCTACCCCAACAACCTAATCATTTTAAGTATTAAAAAAAAAAAATCAAGCAGCTCTGGAAAAAATTAAGCAATGTAACGAAAAAGACAGGAAAGAGAAAGAAGGAAACAAAACCAAACGAAAACTTCCCAAAAATCATGAGAGCACAGAGCAGAGAGGGGGACCAGGACATGCTGACATGGCCCTGTTCAGATGGTATCTTGGGAGTACAGAATCATGTGGGCTCCTTGTCCTACTGCAAGATCCTTTAAGAAAGTGAAGTTCTCAAGGTACAGGGCACAGCCTACTATCAATTCTCTAAACCTCTGTCTATATATTTTTAAATTCTCCTCTTAATGTTTCTGAAAAAAATTAGAAATTGTAAGAACTCAAAGAGTAATTTGCTAATATTCCTACAATAGTACAACATACATATACAGAGTTCAGTTATTTTTTTTTTCTACTTAACAGACCATAGAACTCTGTTTAACTCCCAGCTCTGGACAAGTTACTTCCTGCCTCTGTGCCTCAGTTTCCTCATTAGTCATAGATTAAATGAGGATAACAGACACATCATGAAGAATGTGTGAAATAATGTGAGAAGTGCCCGGGCGCATGAGTGACTTGTGATGATCGCTCTTATTAATGCTTCTGAGCCCCACGGGACTCAGAAGGCTCTCATACCCGTTTATCCCAAAGTCATCTAGTGGGTGTATACTCTGGGCGGCCCTGTGCGGGGTTGCCAGGGGCCCAGAAATAAATCTGACCGGGTCTTGCCCTCAGCTCAGAGCTGCTCTCAGGATATAAGACAGATATATAACCAGTGAGTGACAACCTTCAGTGACAAGGTGTTGCTGACCACTCAGGTGGGTGCTGTGGTACCCTTGACTCCACAGAGAAGGGGATGGAGCAATCGGGTCAGGAGACAAAGGGGAGGTGTATAAGGCAGACACATGGAAGGACACTTCAGAGGAAAGACAAATGCAAATGTCCAGAGGCCCTAGAGAGCATGGCCCTTCTGGAAACAAGTCATCAACTCTGGCTTTGGATGTTGGCAGGAAAACGGGCCTGTAGGACTGTAGCCCCAAATGACATGTTTGTGTCGGGGTTAGGGTGCATCCTCACACCAGCAGGAATGCTCCCAGCTGCAAGGAACAGAAGACACTGATGCCACCAGCTTAGCCAATAAACCGTGTACGGCCTCATGCAAAAGGAGGTAAGAGGAGGGCATTAGGGTTGGTTAATTCAGCAACCTAACCACACGTCTCCAAGGACCCGGGCCTGTCAGCATGTGCAAAGGCAGAACTTCAACCCAGTGGAGGACAGCCTGAGAGGATTGTCCTAAACCCTCGGAGAAGTCCCTGCAGCATGGCTGCCCCAGCACCACGCCTCTCACTCTGCCTCTTTTACCTCCCCAGCAGTCTCCCCTGGGGCTGGCCCCCTGCAGTGCTAGTTGTGGGACAGGATAAAAGAACAATGTCACTGTTGTGCGAAGGAGGCAGAGTGGATGTGGAAGAGGCCATGAGCAGGGCCTGCTAAAATCCGGGAGTCATTGCTTGACCATGCGCTCCTCAGTTTGCTCAACTATAAAGTGGGACTAACCTCATAGCACCTAGCTCATAGGGTTTTTTTGTGGATTAAAAAAAAAAACAACAAAAAAACCTTATGAAGCCCCTAAAATGAGTGGTACACACCTGTAATCCCACCTACTCTGAAGGCTACTCTGGGTTCAACCCCTGGTACGAGGGAGGGGGTTGAACAGTACCTGGCACATGTACATCAGCAACAGTTATCGTCCCCATCTTTAACCACCCTTCTCTCCTACAAAACTCTCAGTCTCTAAGCTTATTAGGTTCCTTCTTCTCTGGGCCTCAGTTTCCTCATCTCTGAAGCAAGATGGTTGGGCCAAGTGATTCCTGCCCCCTGCCCTTTCCAGCTCAGATCCCCCCTGGGGCAGTGACAGTACTGGACTGCAACCCTCAAGCCTTGCTCAGGCTGGGCCCTCAGCTTGGAATGAAGCCAATCTCTTGGGATCTACCTCAAGTCTATCTCAGAATCTCTTCCCAGTCTCTCCTGGCTAAGCCTGGCTCACATGGCACTTCCACCTGCAGGGAGCGCTCTCTCTCTCTCTCTCTCTCTCTCTCTCCCCCCTACCAGGTTGAAAAGTGGTAAGAGGTAAGCTTAAGAATCTCATGCACTGTGAGCCCTGGAGTGTCTGAGCAGGGGCCTGCACACAGCAGCTCACATTGTGCTCACCCCTGCAGCAGCGAGTATTTGCAACACTTTCCATGAAATGTCTTTTTCAGCCTTGTTCATGCCCCACCCATAAGGCAGTTACTATTGTTTACAATCTGCAGATGAGGGACCTGAGGCTCAGAAAGGTTGAGGGACGGACCCAAGGTCACACAAGAGATGAGTGATGGGAGTCAGAACTGTATCACATGTCTTCCAGGCTCCAGAGAACCTGTTCCCTAAATAGGCACTAAATACCCATCCTTGTGTGAGGCAGGAGCCAAGTATGGCCTGCTGGCCCTCAGGCTGGAGCTCTGAAAAGCAGCCATATATATTTTTTAACTTAATAGATTTTACTCTTTAAAAAATAGTTCTAGATTTGGAGGTAAATTGAGTTCCAACATGCCTCCTCCACTGCTCCCCGATGCTTTCCCTGTATAAATATCTTGCATCAGTTTGATGTTACAATGAACCAACATTGACATAATATGTATTAATACATATTACTAATCAAAGTCCATAGTTTACACTAGGGTTATCTGTATGGTTCACTTCTATAGGTTTGACAACTGTATGTCATGTATCCAATATTATAGTATCATACAAAACAGTTTCACTGGCCTAAAAAATCCCCTGGGCTACCCCTATACTTCCTTACCTCCCTAGACCCTATTCCTAAGCTTCTGGAAACTTTTTACTGTCTCTATGGTTTTGCCTTTTCTAGATTATATAGTAGGAATCATACAGTGTAGTCTTTCCAGCTGGTTTCTTTCAAGTAGTAATGAGCATTTGAGCTTTCTCCATGTCTGCTTGTGGTCTCATAGTTCATTTCTTACTGTTGAATAATATTCCATTGTAAGGCTGTACCACAATTCACGCCTTTACCTACTGAAGGTCACCTTGATAATTCCACTTTTTGGTGATCATAGACAAAGGTACTCGATAAACATGTGTCAGTTTTTGTATGGACAGCAGTGTTCAATGCAACTGGGTAAACATCTAGGAGCGTGATTGCTGGATTGTATGCTAAGAGTATGTTTAGCTTTGTAACAAACTGCCAAACTGTCTTTCCCAATGGCTGGACCATTTTGCATCACTATAAGCAACGAAGAGAGTTCCTATTGCTCTTGCATCCTTGATAGCATTTGGGATTTTGTGGTTTGCATTTTAGCCATTCTAACTAGATGTGTAGGGTATCTCATTGCTTTAATTAGCAGCTTCTTAGTGACAAATTATGTCCAACATCTTCTCATATGCATGTTATCTGCATTATCTTCATTGAAGTGCCTATTCAGATATCTTGCTTTTGTGTGTGCTTATGTGCAGGGGATCAAACCTAGGGCCTTTGGCATGGTAGGCAAGTGCTCTACCACTGGACTATACCCCAAGAAGTGCCCATTTTTAAAGTTGGGTTGTTTGCTTATTGTTGAGTTTTAAGAAGACTTAAGTACAAGTCCTTTAACAGATGTGTTTTAGCTGGTGTGGCTTGTCTTTTCATTTTCTTAGCAGTGTCTTCTGTGGAACAGATTTTTAATTTTAATGGAGCCCAATTTATCCACTTTCTCCTTTATGGATCATACTTATTTTGTATCTGAAAACTCACTGCCAAACCCAAACTTACACAATTTTCTTCTGAGTTATTTTGTGGAACATTAATAGTCTCATGTTTAGGTCTATAATCTATTTTGAGCTATTTTTTAAAAAAGTGTAAAAGTCTGTCTAGATTTTTTTTTTGTTGCATATATATTCCAGTTGTTCCAGCACTGTTTATTGAAAAGACTATTTTTTATCTGTTAAGACCACTGTCAAAGATATTTGTAAAAGTCTAGTGCTAGCCCCCCTTTTCTGTTCATTGATCTATTTGTCTTTTCTTTCACCAATACCACACTATGTGGATTACTGTTCCATTATGATAGATTTGAAGTTGAGTAGCATCAGTCCTCTGTTCTTTTTTGTAATTTTATTGGCTATTTTGTTAAAATCCACAAAGAAACTTGCTGAGTTTTAATTGGGGTTATGTTGAAACTGTAGAACAAACTGAAAAGAAATGACATCTTAACAATGTGGACTATTCCTATCTGTGAACAAGGAATATCTCTCAATTTCTTTTTATGTGTGTTTTAATTGAAGTTTCTGATTCATTCAAGACAAAATATTACACATGCCACTATGGATCCCTCAAAGCAACCACCACTGGGGTCATCGGCACAGAAGCTGGTGCAGTGATGGAAGCAGATGTGAGCAGCACCACCAACATGCCAGGGAGCTGGGACAGCCCTAAGCCTTCACTCCTGCAGCCTCATTCTCAGCCCTTTCTTTGGCCTTCTTTATCATCTCCTCCTTTTCCAGCATTGCCAAAACTGTGGCCACCTGGCTGGTGGGGATGTCAATGTCTTCTTTGTCCATCAGCTCAACCATCTTCATGAATTTGTCAATGTTGATCTTGCCATCCTTATTCTTATCAAATGTTGAGGCCAAGTGGATCAGCTTAGTTTCTGGAATGTGCTTGATTTGCTTCAGGGCACTGGCGAGCTCAGTGATACTGACAATGTCTGTCCCTGTGAGTGAGCCCTTTGCTGGCTCTAGCTTGCCAGCCTTCTGGTCTGACTCCAGCTGCAAGATCAAGCTGTGTATCTGTCCAATCATCTGCTGGACTCTCTTTTTTACCCTCTGGCTGGCTTTAGGTGCTTCCACATATTTTTTTCCACCAGTCTTCAAAAGTTCCTTCTTGATCTCTAGTAAGTCCTCACTGTGGTCCTGGACATCTTCCTTCAGCAGTTCAAGCTCTTCCTTCTCCTTGGATAGGGACTTCCTCTGCTCCTTCAGTTGAGAACAGGCACTGCTGAGTATGTGGATTTCTTCCTTAGTTATTTCCTCTTCCTTCAACACCTCAACCACAGGGGCAATGAGATGGGACTCTGATGGTAGGCTCCTATCTGACACTTCCAGCTGCTGGTCAGCCACTGGCCTCCCAGAGGTGTCTTCTACCACTGCTTGGGACAGCATCTGTAGTTCCTTCTCCCAGTGCTCCTGTTGGATGGCTGCCTCCTCCTGCAGTGTGGCCTCTAGCTTCATCTTGTTGTCCACCTGACTGCCTTTAACATTGGCCACCTGAACCTGGGCTCCCTTCACCACAATCTCTGGAAGCTTCTGCAGTGTGGATGTGAGCTGGTCAGTGGGAGAGAAGGTGGTTGGGAAATACATAGCTTGAGACAATATAAGTAGTGAAGTGGGGATCTTTTGGTGCAGGTGCAAGTCCAGCCACTGCTTCAGCTGGTCCCTCAGCAGATCTTCTGTGACACCCAGGACAGGCATGCCTCTCTCCCGACAGGCTGATTGCAACTGTGTGACATTCAGGCTGTCTACCCCTTCTTTAGCAATCAGCTTGTCATCAGCCTTTATGGACCTCAGCTGCATGGTGATCTGGAAGCGCAGGAAGCTGTTGGTGCCAATGGCCTGGAGTCCCAGCAGCTTACACAGTGCCATCAGCTGCTGCCGGGGCAGGTTACCCAGGGTCAGCTCATCCTTAAACAACCTGGAAAAACGCACGATTTCCTCATTGCTAGGTCTTTCCCTAGTTTCTCTGATCTTCTGGAAAAACTGGGAGAAGTCTTTGGCAATGCTCCTGGTGGCTGCCTTGTTCCTAGAGGCCATCTCCTCAGCAGTGTCCTGTAGGAACTTGGCCAGCTCCAGCTTGACCCGCAGCTTCTTCTTCAGCTTCTCTTCCTTGATAGATTGTGTCTCAAACGTGGATGGCAACATGTTGGGGAAGAGTTTGAGGGCGACGGGTAGCAGAAACTCCATGAATGGCACTACCACAAAGGCAAGGAGTGGTACCAGGCGGAAGAGGTCAGCGCAGACCCGAACTAACTGCTTATGCTCCCTGCGGCTCAGGGTCTGGCCCTTGAGAATCTTCCAGAGTGTGCGCACAGCGATCTTGGTGTCGATCCAGAGCAGGCGGAAGCCGTGGTAAACGTGCTTCAGCCCGTCTAGGATCCTCTGCTTGAGGCCAGGCTTCACTGCCCCCTCCGCGGTGGTGTTGGACACAGGGCTACCTTCCTCTAGCTTCTTATTCTTGTCCCTGAGGGACTTGGGAGATGTCACTGTGGAGCCACTGCTGAGGGGGTACGACGAGTGCCAGCAGCGCACAGGAAGGTCCCCAGGTCCCATGACAACCAAACGCGGGGCGGATGCCACCGTGTGCAAGCGCTCGGGCCTCAGAGGCCAGCCGCGGAAGCAATGGCCTCTGAAGGAGCGGTACAATGAGTGGACACGAGCGCAGCAGCCAAATGGTGCATCCATGCGGCTGACCAGCCCAACGGTGTTGGTACGAATAGCACCAGCACCGTCCCCCAGGCCACCCTTCCACGCTGTGGCGACGGGCATGGGGAAGCGGGCGGGTGCCCAGCTGCCAGGGCTCCTCAGAAGAATGGACGCCATGACCCTCCTGCTACAGCCTCCTCCTCCAGACTCACGCTTCCTTCGCGTCCCCCCTTGTGGTGCCTGACCCGGGGGACGAGACGGTTGACCGCGACAGTTGGATTCCAGTGGTGAGCACTCTACTGAAAAATATGGCGCCGGTAGCAGCCACCTCCGGGCAGGGACTTCCGGGGGCGGGGCGGGGCTGGTGGGGCGGGGCGGGGCCCTGTCCAGCTCTGGGCATGCGCGCATGTCTCTATAAATCTTTGATACCTGTCATCAGTTGTCCTTTCCTCACATAGATCCTGTACCTATTTTGTAAGATTTAGACCTCTTTTTTTCCTTCCTTCTTTCCCCTTTTATTTCTAAAACTAGGACCACAGATGGTAAGCCAACCCAGAGTCCGCATTATAGGAAAGCATTTAAGGAAGTGAAAGTCCTCAGACCTGGGAAGAGGACATTTGGCTGTCTGAAAACATGCACTCACTAGGTTAGTTTTGCTGTGGGACTTAGGGACTGAAGTCTCCCTCCAGTGCCCTCAAATTTCAGGGTTTACCCTGCAGGAGCAAGATGGAACTGCCGCAAAGATCCTGCATCCTGTAGTCCTGTGACAGGAAGTGGCTCAGGGATCTTCATTGTATCCCACCTCATATTTCTTGAACTTGAAGAGGCACACCGAATCCCCAGGAATCTTGTTAACATGCAGATTCAGATTCAGCCTGGAGTGGGGCCCAAGATTCTGCATTTCTAAGAGTCTCCCAACTATGATTGGTGCTTCTGGCCTAGGAACTACATTTGGAGAAACCAAACTCTGCCAGACCCTGCATCTCTCTTAGGCCTGACACATTTCTCATCTCTTGCTTTTCCTTTCATCCACCTGCCTGATACCCTCTTATCCCCCAGTTCTGAATGGGCACTCTCTCTACCTAGTCACCTCAGAGGTTGTAGGACAGCCTCTAAAGGACATCTTAAGAAAAACTACCCAGGGAAAAGCCAACCAGCCATACAAGCTAGCTAGCCAACACAGGTAACTCTACCAGTTGGTCCCAGCATCTCCCATCCCCTGTGGTCCCAGAGATGTGAGTAGCACTAGGTCACCTGTGAAAAGGAGAAATGATCACAGAACCTGAACTAGCAGAACTGATTGAGGACCAAGTTCATGCACGTAAAGTAGGCAGCTGAGTACCTAACACAGTATAAACATGAGTTAAGTTTCCATCTTATTTTGTTGAATTCATAACTAGCAAATGTGGGTTTGAAGTTGACTTAGAGATCATTAAATGCAATGATCCTCAAACTTGAGTGTTGATGAATCGCCCATAGGGCTTGTTAAAACACAAACTGTTAGGCCCTACCACAGGGCCCATTTAGTAGGTCTGGAGTGTGAAAAAGAGAATCTGCACTTCTGATAAGTTCCCAGGTGCTGCTCCTGGTGGTGGTACAGGGACCAACTCATTAGGAACCTGAAGACCAGAGCTGGCAGTATTAGGCCAGGTCATGCCAGGAATTAGGAGACTTATCAGCAGCCTGGGCTCCAAGGACACCGGAGGACCTTGTTCCAGCGCAAGACCCCTCTGCAGGCCTCTCCTTCAGGCCTGCTGCCTCCTGGCTGGCCTGGTGCCCTGGCCCTCGGAAGGCCCCTCCACCCAGCTTTGTTTGCATTCCTGGAGCCTGCGTCAGCCTGGACAGCAGGCTTGTCTACGCGGGCCAGCCTGGCGCAGCCCTCATGGCTGGCCCTGTGCTGCAGGCCTCCTGGGCTAGGCCAAGGTGGCCACGCAGGGCTCAATTAGCAGGCCAGTGACTCATGCTTCCTCCTAGATTCCGGGAAATGCTTTCCTGCTGCCACTGCTTTCTTCTTGTTTAGTAAGAAGTCCTCTGCAGACTGCCGTGGCAACTTCAGGCCATGGAGGCAGGGGGAGGCGGAGGCCAAATCCACTCCCAGGAGGGGCCGCAAGGATTCCCATCCACACTCACGAACACACAGTTTCATGCTGATGCCAGCCCCGGCCGGAGCCCCCAACCCTCCGCGGAGCTTGGTGCAGGAGAGCCAGGCCCAGAAATGCTTGCTTTTATTAAAAAGGAATGGCCTCACAAAGGCTCGGCTGTAGGAAAGGTTGTAATTTGCCCAAATAAAACTTAATTTGATCCATGAAATAGCTGTGGTTTATTGTGTAATAGATGTGCTATGTGTTTCAATTTAATAGAAGCCAATATAATAGGGGGCCAGCAGGGGCCTCCAGGGGCCCGATTCTTTCCCCACACACAGTAGGGCCACACAGCCCACCCTGATGGCTGGACCCTCCACCAGGACACGATGGAAAAGAGCTGGCTAAAGACCTCTGGGCCAGACCACGGAGGCCTGTGGGAGAAACAGCCCAGGGACAGAACAAGCTCGAAGGGAAAAAAAGAGGAAAGAAATGAAAACCACCCTTTTTCCAAAGCAAGACTGTGGTGTGTGAGTCTGAGGAGGGGGCCATGGGGGCTGAGTCACTTTCCTGTCTGCTGCTGGGGTGGGAGGGCCTTTGCCAGGGGCTGTGGGAGAAAAAAGGCTGGGTCTGTCACCCAGAGCATGCTGAGGGGCGTCCCTGTGAGGACCTCTGGGATGGTCCCTGGGGCATCAGGCACTTCCTTGGCCCCAGAGCCTTTGCAAGTAGTGTGTGCCCAGCTCCAGTGAAGGCTGCGCAGGCCAGGGAGGGCGGGAGTCGAGGCCTGGAGATGTTCCAGGCCAGCATCCCCCTGCCCTAGGCTGCCCTGGCCATCTAGATGAAGGCCCCTAGAGGATGAATACATGAGTTCAAATAGGCAGGGAGCAGCTCAGCTGGCACGCATTCCATATACTGTCACCACACACTGGTGCTGGGGCAGGGGTGGTCCAGGCTGCACTTACAGGCCCCCTCAGGAGTGTTGACCACTGCCAGAGACCATGGGGAAAGGAAAGCCGATATCACTCTAGGCACCCTCTGTGTGTTTCCTCTTAATCCTTGCCACAGCCCCATATGGGAGGTACCAGCGAGCCCATTTTCAGATGAGGAAATTGAGGTTGGGGCAATGCCTTATCCAGAATCACAGTCACCCACTGACCTCTGCTGCCCGCATGAGCAGAGACAGAATCCGCCTGGCAGCCCCACCCCATTTCCCCAGTCCTTTCTGGTTCTGGGGCTCTGATCCCGGCATCTGGATTGCCCCTGGTTCATTCCTCTCATTAGGTGCTTTCCTTTAGAGGGCCTTTGTTTAGTCTGCTGTGGTGGTGGACAGGCCTCTGGGCCTGTTTTCTCATTTGTAAAATGGTGATAATTCCACATACCCCACAAAGGCTACCCTGAAGACTAAATGAGATACTATGGAAAAAATCACACAAACCAACTAGGCGCTGTGGTGCATGCCTGTAATCCCAGCAACTCAGAAAGCTAAGGCAGGAGGAGGGCAAGTTCAAGGTCACTCTGGACAAGTTAGCCAGACCTTGTCTCAAAAGTAAAACACAATTGTTGGGAATGTAGTTCTATGAGTAGAGCACCCCTGGTTCAATACTCAGTACCACCAAAACAAAAAACACCCACATAAACCAGGGCTTAGAATTCAGTAAATACTCATTAAACTCACCTTTTAAAAACAACCAGAGATAAGGTAAGTTCTGGACATTACTTTGGGAGGCAGAACAACCTGGATCTGAATTTTACGTCTGCCACTTACCAAGTAGCTGGACAAGTACCTGTCTTACCTTTATGAGTCTCAGTTTCCTCATCTGTAAAACTGATGTGCATACTGCTACCTATCTCAGGTATGGGAAAATTAAATGAGATATTAGAAGGAACACAGCAGGTGCTCAATAAACAGTAGTTATTTCATTATGATTATCATCTTTAAGCTCCCTTCCATAGCCTAGCATTCACTCTGTATGCCAGTAAACCCAGCATGAGGCTCCTCTTGCTCCTGCTGTCCCCTCTCTGCCAAGGAGTTCTTTATTTGTGCACTGGGGTTTCTGCATTGAGGTTCAGAAAACCCTGTGTATCCTGATTGCCTCAGAAACAAACCACATATGAATCCAATGCTGAAAGAACAGAAAGCAGTTACCCCAGCAGTGTTCTCAGTACATGGTCTTCTCATTTGTTCTTCCAAGGAAATGCCACCTCATTGCCAAACCCACTGTTGGGCTGAGAAGGGCGGGGTTGTGGGACACCAAGAAGGGCAGGAGCCTCATAATCAGGAGGGGGTCCAGCACCCCATCACCTTGCAAGGTCTAGCAATAGGTTGTCCTTCTTGTGCCTTTCTACCCTCTTAAATCCCTTCTGGGGATTTAGCACAGTAGAAAGCCGTGCTATAGCTGGGTGCAGGGTGCACGCCTATAATCCCGCATCTGGGGAGGCTGAGACAGAAGGATCACGAGTTCAAAGCCAGCCTCAGCAATTTAGCAAGGTCCTGTCTGTAAATAAAGTAAGTACATAAATAAAAAGGGGCTCGGATTTTGCTCAGTAGTAAAGTGCCCCTGGGTTCAATCCCTAGTACAAAAAAAATAATAAATCAATGAGAGAAAGAAATGTTTAATCGAGTTTTAACATTGTAGCCTTTTTGTTGTGTTTATTGTGAAAAAAATCTGTTTTTTTAAATAATTTGTTCTTTTTAGTCACACATGACAGTAGAGTCTGTTGATGAGGAGTTTCACTAGTCGTGTATTCATTCATATGTGAGCATAGGAAAGTTATGCCCGATTCACTCTACTGTCTTTCCTATTCCCATCCCCGCCCTTCCCTCCATTCCCCTTTGTCTAATTCAAGGAACTTCTGTTCTTCCCTCCCACCCCTTATTGGTCTTTTGTTTGTTTTTGTCTGAAACAAATTTATTAAGAAATATCTCAGGAGAGTGGGAGAAAGGATGGAGGAGCAGGGCAGGGGGAGTGTCCCAGGGAGATCAGCCTCCGATGTCTTCTGCAGGAGGGGGCAGAGGTGACTGCTGATGTCCAGGTAGACGCAGAACTGCTCTCAGCTCAAACCCCGGGCAGAAGGACCTGAGGTCGTTGGCCCATG